CGGGATGTAAGTTCTTTTTTTTTTTTTTTTTTCGCTCCTCATCGAATCCCGTTTGCGCGAACTGCTGCGCAAGTCACCTTCTCATTTACATGTTGACGGGGCGCTGATGTATCGAAACCAGGCACAACCCAAGTCTGCCTCTTTCGCGACTCTTACGCCCCTCTCACTGCCGACGGCCTCGCCATCTATGGCCTCAGTGCAGACTCGCCCAAGGCCAATACCACGTTCAAGGAGAAGCAGAAGCTTCCCTACCCGCTGCTGTGTGATCCGCAGGCAACTCTCATCGCCGCCATTGGGCTGAAGAAGCAGCCCAAGGGTACGCAGCGCGGTGTGTTTGTGGTTGACAAGAAGGGCAAGGTGCTTGTTGCCCAGCCGGGCAGTCCTGCCGGGACCGTGGAGAAGGTGAAGGCTTTGGTGGAGGAGTTGAAGAAGTAATTACTCTTCTTTTTTTTTTCCTTTGTTTCTTTCATGGTGCGCTTTGGGTCTGGACTTTGGTTGGCGATATCGCGGGTTGGGTGACACGGTTTTTGTAATCACGGAGGTACGGATCTAGGGTTCCTTTCCTCTCTTCTTCCAATTACCACAAGAACCCTGCTCCAACTACAAGTAGACGTCCGCGCGCCCAACTACCTATAAGACCTTGCTTTGGGAAGCTCAGCGGAAGCGAGGTCTTGCAGGTAGTTTGGTTCGCGGATATCAACTTGCAGTTGCAACAGGGCTCCTGTGGTTATTGGACGAGGAGGGGGAAGGAATCATAGATTGCCAATAAGCGCAGAACTTATTAATATTGTTGTGTGCGGCCATTCGAGTTTTTGGAGTGAGTCACTTGCTGCAAGCCTATCTTTTGCTTCCATGTAACGGCTGAGGCCCTCGCTGGGGCAGCTGTGAATCTTGATTTCGAGCGGTGTTTCCTTTGGTATGTCACGATTCTCTGGTTTAGTTACGACTAGAACACGGTGTTTGTTAATTGGGCCTTACCTAGTACATAATACAATGCTGGCACGAACATTAGGATAGGTTCAAAAAAATAAATGGAGGTATGGATAGAGGTAAGACTGTGTGGACATGATATGGTATCAGGGTAGGAATAGCAAGCGAATTTTGCTTTGGAATTTTATTTCTGTTGCTTGATATTTCGCAAAGCACTCTACTCACTACAGGCCTTGTGGTTTTACACAGTGCTGTTGACGCCTAATGATCGAGAATGACCTAGCCATTACCTGCATATCTATCAAAATACACCTCCCTGCAATCTCCCAACTGAAGCTCATTAAAGTATCTGGTGAATTCGCCCGACAGCTTATTTGATCTGACACCTTCTTTGAGTCGAGATTGAGTTCCGGCTAGCCAGGCCCTACCAACATGGCTGGTGGAATCAGTATATAGGGTAAGCCGTCTCGGCAAAACACCGGCCCCATGCTGACACCCAATCATCACGACCGCATATCCAACCTCGAAACGCTTGTCTATCCGTCAACCTCATCCCAGCGACCGCACTCAATCTGTCGCAACGTCAAAATGTCGGCTCAAGCGGTGGCCAAGGCTGCCGGAGGTGTTGTCTCCATCGCCAAGGTATGCTGCATGCCGACCACAAACCATGCCACCCGATCAATTGGTCGCGAATCGCCGTCACTCAACCTCCCTCGGGTCCGACCATGCTAACACCACCGTCTGCTCGCAATAGAAACAAACCGTCCAGTCCACCGGAGTGTGGGAATCCATCCGCAAGGCCCTCTCCATCGACGCCAACCGCTCCAACGGTGTCCCGCTGAACCCGTACTACCGCAACCCTACACCCGGCAGCAACGACCCCATGGCCTACGACGACCCCGTCACCGTGCCCGCCGGCGACATCGCCGACAACCCTTACTGGAAGCGCGACCACCGCCGCCACTACCCCAAGCTGAGCGTCATGAAACAGGCCGACGTGGCTAGCCTGCTGACGATTGGGAGCGCTGCCGCACCCAAGGTTGATCTGATTGGCGAGGCGGGTGAGAAGCAGCTCGTCGCGGCGAAGCAGGAGGGCGAGACGGGTCTGGCCAAGTGTCTCGAGAAGACGAGCGGCAAGGATGTCTTTGTGAACGGCCTGCCGCCGCTGCCCAGCGGCCAGAGTCTTGCGTCGGGCTCATGGGATGTGCACAAGTATGAGCTGACGGAGGAGAATACATATCCCCAGGGGTGAGTGCTGGTACCAGGGTGTTTTACGTTCCTTGTGGGAGAAGAGTGATTTGCTAACTTCTCTAGCTACCCTTGCCGGACTTTTGTATAGATGTTGTTTTGGGGGAGCGATGACTTGTACATACGACGATGTAGCACGGCAAGGCCATAGAACCGGTTCTCCTTTGTAATCAAAATTCAAGAATACTTTCTAAACCTTTTAAAAACTGCTGTAACGGGTGAATCCAACGCTAGTTAACCCTCAAATCATATGCCGCGGCGCCGTGTATCCCGTACATATTTTATCCAACTCCAGGTGATGGCACACCATGTGGTCACGTAACCGAAAATACTAATCATTCATTCCTTCATGAAGCCATCCTTTCCACGACCTTGGCCTTTCCCTGCGCCCTCTTGACCCGATCGTCGAAATCCTGGACCGCCTCATCTGTGTTTTCTGTCGATAATGTATCCGGCTCCACCAGGGAGTACACCATTCTCACATTCTTCTCTAGCCTGGCATTGTTTGGCAGCGAGGGCAATGCACATGCTTTCCTCTCCTGTGTATCCGAGCACCCACCCCCTTCTGCTTGGCTCTGTTTCGCCTGGGTCGGTATTCTGTTGGCCCATACGATGGCTCGGCTGGCTAGGCGCCCACTCTCGAGAAACTTGTCGAAACCCTGCTGCATGCCGAAGGAGCGGCCTTCCATGCGGCCTGCTCTTTCGCCGTCGGCAAGGCCCTGGTTGTAGCCTCGTTGGTAAAAGTTGTCTTCGAGATTGAGAACATCGTCGAAGGGGTCTGGTGTGGAAGGCATGCTCTTGGTATATTGGGGGTAGGGCAGGTGAAGTTGTGGCGAGACCCAGGTGGTGATGACAAAGATGGAGGTCGCATTATCGACCTAGGTAGGTGGTCTGGTAGAGAGTCTGACTCAGTGGGGCTTTGGGTTGGGGAATATCAAATTGGTGTCTTCTCTGTTGGCAAGGGTCCCTTTATTAGAGCTGCACTACGGAGTAAAAAGGCCGGAGAGTTTGATGTATGATGAATGAGAGCACATTAGGTGCTGTCTGGATGTTTACTTGAGGATAGAGTGTAGTTATTTTCGTACAGATTTGGGGAGCCATTGGGCTGGAACTACGAGGTTCTGTGAGCCCTCACATGAAAATTACGGCTGGGAGGAAAGCAGTCGAGGCCCGTGGCTTGATTCCAACGCCTGAAAAACACCAGACCGCCGAGCTAGAGATTCTTCCTTGCAATCAACTATAAACTACCCAGTACTGTCGCACATGTCGTTCATGACATCCAGGGCGCTCCATGAACCCTGCATGTCAAAGCACTTGATCGCGTGGCTGCCCCTCCAGGGAGGGGCTGAGTTTTCCGCACCAAAAATTCGACCCCTCCATTTCCCTGTCGAGCAGAGCCCAGACCTCACCTCGGGTGACTCAGTCAGTAGTTACTTGCTCTACCTCCTCCTACGTGCTCGAATATTTAACAATCGCCACACCCCATTGTCATTGAGAGCGACAAGCCGCATTGAATCGTCCATACAACCTGACGCAGGAAGATTTCGGCGACGCAAAAAAACTGACATGCCGGTTGATAATCCCATCCTGCCCGTCGAGGGCAAGAGGAACATCCTCATTACCAGTGCTCTGCCTTACGTCAACAACGTCCCTCATCTGGGCAACATTGTGGGCAGTGTTCTGAGTGCCGATGTCTTCTCGCGATATAGCAAGCTTCGCGACCGTCCAACCCTCTACATTTGCGGAACAGACGAGTACGGCACTGCTACGGAGACGAAAGCGCTGGAGACGGGCCAGACCCCCCAGCAGCTGTGTGACGAGTTCCACGTCAAGCACAAGGAGGTCTATGACTGGTTTGAGATTGGATTCGATCATTTCGGCCGCACCACCACCCAAAAGCAGACAGAGATTGTTCAGGACATTTTCTTAAAACTACATGAGAACGGGTTCCTGGAGGAACGTACCACCACGCAGCCGTACTGTGAGAAGCATGATGGTTACCTGGCCGATCGATTCGTTGAGGGAACTTGCCCCAAGTGTGGCTATGACGATGCCAGAGGTGATCAGTGCGACAAGTGCGGAGGGCTTTTGGACCCCTTTGAGCTGATCAACCCCCGATGCAAGGTTGATGGTGCTCAACCTATCCCTCGCGACACCAAGCACATCTTTTTGAAGCTCGACAGGCTTCAGTCCGATATCGAGAAATGGTTTGAGGAGGCGCACAAGAAGTACGGATGGCCGCAGAACGGCGTTGGCATTACCCAGTCTTGGTTGACCAAGGGTCTCGAGGGCCGCAGCATCACCAGAGATCTGAAGTGGGGTGTCCCGATCCCGCTGCCCGGGTATGAGAAGAAGGTCATCTACGTGTGGTTCGACGCCTGTATCGGATACCCCTCAATCACGGCCAACTACACCGATGAGTGGGAGAAGTGGTGGAAGAACCCAGACAATGTTACGCTGTACCAGTTCATGGGCAAGGACAATGTGCCCTTCCACACTGTCATTTTCCCTGGTTCAGAAATCGGAACCGGCTACAAGTGGACCATGCTAAACCATCTGTCGACTACCGAGTACCTCAACTACGAGAACGGCAAGTTCTCCAAGTCGAGAGGTGTCGGCGTGTTCGGCAACCAGGTGAAGGATATCGGCATCTCCCCATCCGTGTGGAGATACTACCTCTTGTCAAACCGTCCCGAATCTGGAGACACTCAGTTTGAGTGGCAGAACTTTGTCCTCGCCAACAACAGTGAGCTGCTCGCCAACTTTGGCAACTTTGTCAACCGCATTGTCAAGTTTGTCAATGCCAAATGCGACGGCACCGTTCCCGAATTCTCTGCCACCTATACCGACGACACTTTCGACTTTGCCGGCTGGATCCTTCGGGTCAACGCCCTCCTGTCCGAGTATGTCGACCTCATGGAGAAGGTCCATATTCGTGCCGGTGTGAAGAAGCTCATGGAGATTAGCACCGAGGGCAACACTTTGCTGCAGTACAGACTGGACAACACCAACTTGGTTGAGAAGCCCGAGAGAACCAAGACTGTGATTGGCCTCGCCCTCAACCTGTGCCACCTGCTGGCCTCTCTTGCCTCACCGTACATGCCCTCAACATCAGAGTCTATCTGCAAGCAGCTGAACACCACTCTTGCTTTCATCCCTGACGTCTGGGACCCGGAGATTCTCAAGACTGGCCACAAGATTGGCAAAGCTGCCTACCTCTTTACTCGTATTGACGAGAAGAAGGTTGCCGAATGGAAGACGGCGTTTGGAGGCAGTGCGGAGTCTCGCGCTGCGGAAGAGGCTGCCAAGAGGAAGAAGCATGAGGAAAAGGAGAGAAAGAAGGCGAGAAAGGCGGCCAAGGCTGCGGAGGCTACCCAGTCCGCTGCTGGCGAAAACTCGGCGTCAAAGGAGGAGAAGACAGAGGATGGAGCTGCCGTGCCTCCTGCTGCGGGTGACACAAAGGATCTGCCTATCCGGGCCAAGCCTGACGGGCAATAGACAAAGACTAGAGCTTAGACGGTGTTGTATGATGTGTGGTTATGAGAGATGCCATTTTGGAAGGGTTATGGTCTGGGGACGGCGACAACGGCATGAAGGGCTTTGGGAATGAGGCATGTAGCAAAGAGGGCATGGCTGGCGTAGTACAGAGATATAGCAATCGTGTCATAGTGATAGACTTGGTGTGCCAAGAGAGACAAATTTTCTTTATCATATATTTTTTTTGTCAATGACTACACTATTTGGACATGAATACTTGTCGTGGATGGACGGTGGCACCTTGGCTAAAAGTGCAAAACGCGGCCCCCTTGGAAAATGGCATCTACAAAGTGCACCAAAATCCACCAAGTTATAGGAAAAGGGAAGAAATGGCCGCATTCGCAGTCTACCATGCTTACTATAGATGAGCGACTAGTAAGAGAAAAGCTCACTAACAGCACGCCATGACGTGTACTGTTTTCCCCGTATCGACAGTATAGCAACTAGTAGCAATAAGTGAATGAGTCTGGTAGTTGCACGAGTATTGCAAGGGTTAGTTAGGGTAACAGCTTATATGTGGCCTCCAACTTACTTTGTAGAGGTGCTTACTGCTACTAATTCAAAAAGTACAAAGTATGCAAATTGCAGAGAGGAGGAATATTTTGCGTACATGCTTGTAGTTGGTGCTTCTATTCAAAGACGCTATTATATATCAAGTCTTGTGTTATAAATTAATCATGTAGTAATTTCTTCAAATGCATTTTTGCCATTTTTGCCATTTGCCAAGCGTGCCGCCGCAAGACCAAGCTCGCGGCCCCACATGTCCCACCACCGCCTCGGCGAGGTGCCCGGCATTATTTTGGCGCAACAACTCGCAAGCTCCGGCATCGCGTGGCCATCTGCAACCCCAAAATAAAGCTTCGTCACACCACTCGCATACACACCCGCGCATCGTCGGCCACTGCCCCAGCCGATCTGGCGCGCGTCGCTTCTCACCCGACACTCTCGTCCCCCCACAGTCCGCAGCGCATCTCCCCCCTTTCTTTTTGGAACAACCAAGGCCGACAAAGCGTCCACAATGGACATCCGTGTCCTCAGCAGCGCGGACCTCCCGCTCATCCAGCACGCCAACCTGGAGAACCTCCCCGAAAACTACTTCCTCAAATACTACCTGTACCATGCGCTGTCATGGCCGCAGCTGAGCTACGTCGCCGTGGACGTGAGCCGGCCGCCCAAGGGGCCCTACGACTACCCCAAGATTGTGGGCTACGTGCTGGCCAAGATGGAGGAGGAGCCGGCGGATGGCGTGCAGCACGGCCACATCACGAGCTTGAGCGTCATGAGGACGCACAGGCGCTTGGGCATTGCGGAGAAGCTGATGAGGCAGAGCCGTATGTCTTGTCCATCTCGAGCCCCGGCTTGCTGCCTTTGTGCAGCCTGCCCCCCCCCC